CATATTTCTCTTTGAATAAAACACAATATTTTAAAATGAACCTGTCATCACTCACCTGACCCTCCATGCCCCAGCTGTGACCATTAAACGAGTACCATTAAATTGGGTAATAGTAACAACCCCTGGATGCTGGGCTAAGGTAACACCCACAGGACGTACTTGAAAACCAGAGTAATCTGAGTGTACCTTTCCTGGTTAAATACTTTGTTATTATTATTACAGAAGTGGATATTGCACTTCTATAACACTCACCTCTGGTCCGCCCGCATTCTGCCCGGTCTCTTCACTGAATTGCCCTGCATGGGGATAGTTCTGCCAGCATGGCAAACCTCTTCCATGATGCGGACATGCTGGATTCGTTGCCAGTCATTCTGATCCTATAGTCAGCGCTAGCAGTGCTGGCTTTGAGTTACCCTAGCAACCACAACACATGTACTCTGGTTGCTATGGGTGGAGAGCAGAAGTACTGTCTGTTGGTGGTCTGTTCTTCCCTTCCTTATCAATCAATTCATTGGCATAAAATCCATGCTGAAAATTTGATTGACAGGTGTGAGAAAAATCTATTTTAAATAGGTTTTTCTCCCAATCTATACATTTGCTGTCAAAACTGCTGGCACAATGTATGGATAACAGTTTATGCTCTCTAAAAACAGATACACCTTAAGTAGAACCCAAACTCTCACCCTATTACACATGTTCACATTTTGGATTAACATTAAAGGATCACTATAGTGTCAGGAAAACAAACTCATTTTCCTGATACTATAGCATCCTTAGGACCCCCCACTCTCAGGGTCCCCCTCCCTTGGCACTGAAGGGGTTAAAACCCCTTCAGTTACTTACCTTTAACCAGCGCCGGGCTCCCTCGGTGCTGGTGACCTCTCCTCCCCCGCCGACGTCAGCTCCCGAGTGGAGCCGAATGCGCATGAGCGGCAAGTGCCGTGCGCGCATTCAAACAGTCCATAGGAAAGCATTTCTCAATGCTTTCCTATAGACGTTCTGCATGCTGGATGCGAATTTCGCATCCAGCGTTGCAGAAGCGCCTCTAGCGGCTGTCAGGAAGACAGCCACTAGAGGTTGGATTAACCCTGCTATCTAAACATAGTAGTTTCTCTGAAACTGCTATGTTTAGATCTGAAGGGTTAAAACCTGGGGGACCTGGCACCCAGACCACTTCATTGAGCTGAAGTGGTTTGAGTGACTATAGTGTCCCTTTAACTTGACATAACCATTAACATTTTTATTAAAATTGGTGCTTATTATCACTTAAAGGACCACTCTAGGCACCCAGACCACTTCAGCTTAATGAAGTGGTCTGGGTGCCAGGTCCAGCTAGGGTTAACCCATTTTTTCATAAACATAGCAGTTTCAGAGAAACTGCTATGTTTATGAATGGGTTAAGCCTTCCCCCTAATCCTCTAGTGGCTGTCTCATTGACAGCTACTAGAGGCGCTTGCGTGCTTCTCACTGTGATTTTCACAGTGAGAGCACGCAAGCGTCCATAGGAAAGCATTATGAATGCTTTCCTATGTGACCGGCTGAATGCGCGCGCAGCTCTTGCCGCGCGTGCGCATTCAGCCGACGGGGAGGGGAGAAGGAGGATCGGAGGAGGAGAGCTCCCCGCCCAGCGCTGGAAAAAGGTAAGTTCTACCCCCTTTCCCCTTTCCAGAGCCGGGCGGGAGGGGGTCCCTGAGGGTGGGGGCACCCTCAGGGCACTATAGTGCCAGGAAAACGAGTATGTTTTCCTGGCACTATAGTGGTCCTTTAATGCTATAGGAATTTTCTCCTACGTGCCCTAGTTCTGTCTGGGTAAAGACAGCACCAGAACATATAGGAGAGAATTCTAGTCCCATCAAGTGATAATAAGCACCAATGTTTTATCTAATCCATTTGTATACATGCCATTTTAAATAATTTCTATTTACTGCTTTTGATTAACAAATACATACTCTTATGTCTCTATTTTGAAGACAAATCAATACATCTGCTAAGCCAATTGTTTTTCTGAGACATATTTAGAAAAAGGAATTAATCATTTAATTCACCATGAAAAGATCAAATTATGTGCAAATATCAATTTTTTTTTTTTTTTTTTAATTTATTGTGGCTTTTGCAACAAACTTTCACAAAATTAGTATTTCTTCTCTTGAATCTGATTGGACACACATGTTCAAAGGCTACTGGTTAAACGATATCCAAAACATGTTGACATATACCATTTGCTGTCTGAATGTGAATGGGTTAAATATTTGTTTGCACATGGGTGAAAGCAATTGTAAGGATTTTTCAAATGGCACAGAAATGACAAAGGATTCAGCTAAAAGGTTGAATCCAAACTGAATTTCAGGCATCCATTAGCCTTGCTTTAACAATGCACTCTACATAAAGTCCTTCTCTGCTTGAGTGGGTCCGTGTGGTCAGACTGAAAAGATACCCAGGCAGCAGGGGTCCAGCAACCAATCCTCCATCATTGTCAATAAGTAAAATGGAGAGTCATATAATTTCCTTTGCTGTTCCAATGGTTCCATAGCTCATTGCCTTCCCTTTTGTTTCAGTAATAGATTTAATTAACTTCCAATTAATCATAGAGAGTGATATTTAAAGCTCATCCCAGCAGAGTATTGAGTCATAGACCAACGAATATAGATATGAAAGGCTTCAGTAATCGCGAGGTCACATAAGATAGATGTTTATCGCAGATGAAGAAGGGGGTAAGAGACATTTATATGTCTACTCTACTCAGAATAAATGTTTTAAGATAATTGCTCCTCTTCAAAATACAGCATTACAAAAGACCTAGCCATGCAGGGAAGAAGATAAATAGAGAATCAGAGAGAAACTGAAAAAGATAAATAATAGGCTGTTGGTGTAAAGATGCCACATGATCATGACTTTATGTGTAGTCATTACTACATACTGCTTGCAGCCTTTAAATGCCCTTTCTAGATATAGGGGTTAAGTTGCTGCATAAGTCATGCAGAAAACTGATTTCTACGTCCGTTCTCAAGCGTACTGCCGAAAAATGATGCAGAACATAACCGGTAACAACAACATTCAATGGATTCTCTGAATGTTTGATATCAATTAAATTTAAGTCTGTTTTACTTTTTATTTTTTTTGTGAAAATTATTTGTTTGTATGATATCTATTGATAACATCTGAAAGTCTAACAGCAAAATGAAAAAAATGGAATAAAACCATAAAATGCTCTTGTTAAAGGGTTCTACTATTTCATTATTTGCCACCACTGCTGGAAAGCTATCCCACATCTACAATTACTTCTCAAATAATATAGTTTACTGCTGTTAACTAAACTTTTCTCCTTCTGGATCTTTGTTACCTTCTTTCTACATGAAAATAAACAGTTTTTCTTTTTCTTGTATCCATAATTATAGTTGAAAAAAATCAAATAGACAACACTTGAATCATAAATGTAAAATATGAAATAAAAAAATGATGGTCCTAAGGAGAACTCACAGTGAATGAGCTACTGTAACTATTTGACAAATTTAAATAGATTAATTTGTTTATTTGATAAAATAAATAAATACATGAACCTATTTTTAATTATGCATATAGTTGGTAGCCCATTTACTATGAGTGCTCATTTTAGGCTCAACATTATAGAAGCTAAATAGCTCATTCACTGTGAGCTTACATTTCAGGACCATCATTTAAGAAAACAAAATTCCTATGACTTTGTAGAATTATTTTCCACCTTATGTAGTTTGCCCCAAATATATAAAACATGTGTGAATCGATATGAAATGGGTTGGATCAAATGCATGGTCAGTCCAAGAGTAGTAAGTGAGATGTTTTTAGTCAATATGGTGTGGTCATGATCGTTGATTTCTTTCTGAATGGATTGTGTCGTCTAGAGCTGTGTGTGATAATTTGCTGTTCATACAAATAACAGGGATATAATTCATTCTGATTTCTTATGCATACATGCCTATACTTGTTGTCTTTCTGTATAAGGTCAGTATGTTTAGGTTACTCACTGTTTGTTGAGCTAAGTTGTGTTTATTGTTGATTGTGCACATTCTTTTCCTCATTCCTTTCCTAGTGTTTTATAAGCAGGGTGTCCAAACTGTCTGCCCTGCCACTCCCTTACGTCTCCCATAGGGTCCACAGTCCTATGTCATTGTTCCTCCTCTCTGTAAACATTGTGCTCTATTTATATCCCATGTTTTCCACAATGAGCACCCCACTTTTACCAAATTTTAGCACTTTTCCAGACACTATCTACTCAGTGGTTGCTAAATAGGTAGTGTCTTATCCCCGTACTAAAACGTGTTTGGTGTTTAAATATATAAGATTGGGAAAACTGTATATAGCTCCATCCAGTGGTTGGCTGAAAGTTGTGAGGTACCACCAGAGAAACTGTTTGGAGACTAGTGCTGAGGTGCCATGTTGCCCAAGTTCCTGGAGGACCTAAGTGACATGGAGCAGGGGCAGATACAGTAGCAGTTTCAGGTATGGAACCAAATGTGGGAACCAGGCAGGCACCCCAATCCTGTATTAGGTAGTATTACATATTTGTGGTTTATGATCTCATGCTTCTTTGCTTTCAGTTTTATGTTGGTTAGATGGTACAAGGACCAAATCACCCCACATAACTTGATGATATATACCAAAAATAAATCAAGGACAAAAATCAATGCAGCTCCGAGCATTTTCTGAGTTGCAGTGATTTAAAAGGATTTAAAGGGCACTTTCAGCACTGCACCATAGTCACTGCACCATAGTCACTGCACCATCTGTCACTCTAGGGCCCACTAATTGTAGCCTCAGATGACAAGGGGGACCCTCAAGTATGATACCTCGGGCTCCTTGGTACAAGCAGGGATTTGCTGCCAATGGAATTTAAAGCCCTGTGCTGCATGATGACAGACAGTCATATGGTTGGCATTCCCAAAGGTTCTGTCTTTGGTCCCCTATTGTTCTCAGCCTACACTCCCTCCCTTGGTAAACTCATCAGCACCTTTGGATTCCATTATCATTTATGTGAAGATGACACACAAATCTACCTGTCCTCTTCTGATCTCTCTCTGCCCATCTTGACTCATGTCTCTGACTGCCTCTCTGCGATTTCCAACTGGATGGCTGCTCACTTCCTTAAACTCAAACTGTCCAAAACAGAACTTCTGGTCTTTCTTCCCTCAAGTGTTGCTACTCCCGTGTCTGTCTCCCTCCAAGTCAACGGCGCCACCATCGCCTCTACCTCACAGGCTCGCTGCCTAGGTGTTCTCTTTGACTTCCGACCTCTCCTTTACCCCTCATGTCCAGTCGATCACCAAATCCTGCCGCTTCCATCTCAAAAACATAGTTTGCATTTGCCCCTATTTAACACCAGACACATCTAAGGTGCTGGTCCATGCCGTTGTTCTTTCTCGCCTTGACTACTGCAATCTCCTTCTCAGTGGTCTTATGTGATCCCAGATTGCACCGCTGCAATATATAATGAATGTGGCGGTAAGGCTCATTTTCCTGTCCACCTGCACCCATGCTTTCCCCCTCTGTCAGTCCCTACATTGGCTTCCAGTTAGACATAGGGCTCAATTTAAGTTTCTGGTGCTTGCTTACAAGTCCCTACATAATGCTGCTACAACCTACCTATCCTCCCTAATACCCAAGTATGTCCCATCAAGGCCCCTGCGCTCTACCGAAGACCTACGTCTATCCTCTGTCCGTACTCCCACATCTGATGCTCACCTCCAAGACTTCTCTCGTGTCAGGAATAGCGGATGCCCAACACGTAGAACTTAAGTAAAAAGAAAAGAAAACCCTAAGACGTATTACCAGGCCTTAGAATGGCCGGATTTAACATATAAAAGAAAAAAACCACAAGACAGGATATGGACAAGTATGTAGAAATCACGGAAACAATACACAAGCCAAGGGTCAAGGAATATAGAAGTCAGAATAGTCAGAAGCCAAGCCAAAGGTAAAGGAATACAGAGATCGGATAGTCAGAAGGAAAGCCAAGGTCAAATACACTAGAATCAATACAGAATACAGAAACACGCTCATGGATAACCACAATGGAAACTCATGCGCATTCGGCTCCACTCAGGAGCTGACGTCAGCGGAGGAGGAGAGGTCACCAGTGCCGAGGAAGCCCGATGCTGGATACAGGTAAGTAACTGAAGGGGTTTTAACCCCTTCAGTGCCAAGGGAGGGGGACCCTGAGGGTGGGGTGGTCCTAAGGATGCTATAGTGTCAGGAAAATTAGTTTGTTTTCCTGACACTATAGTGATCCTTTAATGTTAACCCAAAATGTGAACATGTGTAATAGGATGAGAGTTTGGGTTCTACTTAAAGCATATCTGTCATGCCCAAAACTACTTTTGCTCTTTTTAGAGAGCATAAACTGTAATCCATACATTGTGCCAGCAGTTTTGCCAGCAAATGTATGGATTGGGAGAAAAACCTATTTAAAACAGATTTTTCTCACACCTGTCAATCACATTTTCAGCATGGATTTTATGCCAAAGAATTGATTGACAAGGAAGGGAAGAAGAGACCACCAACAGACAGTACTTCTGCTCTCCACCCATAGCAACCAGCGTACATGTGTTGTGGTTGCTAGGGTAACTCAAAGCCAGCACTGCTGGCGCTGACTATAGGATCAGAATGACTGGCAACGAATCCAGCATGTCTGCATCATGGAAGAGGTTTGCCATGCTGGTAGAAGTATCCCCATGCAGGGCAAATCAGTGAAGAGACCGGGCAGAATGCAGGCCGACCAGAGGTGAGTGTTATAGAAGTGCAATATCCACCTCTGTAACAATAATAACAAAGTATTTAACCAGGAAAGGTACACTCAGATTACTCTGGTTTTCAAATACATCCTGGGGATGTTACCTTAGCCCAGCATCCAGGGGTTGTTACTATTTTCCAATTTAATGGTACTCATTTAATGGTCACAGCTGGGGCATGGAGGGTCAGGTAAGTGATGGCAGGATCATTTTAAAATATTGTGTTTTATTCAAAGAGAAATATGCATGAAAATATAATTTTATAACAAAAGTATACATGGAATCCAGTATTCAAAGTATTTGCAGTATTCTAATTGGAAGATGTGGTAGTAAACCATGCCATATAAAAATAGTCTATACTAATGCCATATAAAAATAGTCTATACTATATGATCAAGCTTAAGTTGTCTACTTATGTTGCTTGAGCTTCTAGTTGGATCATTTGAACTAATGGGCTGATAAACAGACACAAACAGACAGAAAACAATCATAAAAATATCTTGGGAAAATTGTGCAATTATATTAATTTATAAAATAACGCACAACTATAGCAGTATTAAAGAATTGGCAGAGATCAGTGACAAAATGAATACAGCCAAGATGTTAATAGAACCCATATGGTTTACTCTAATTTGTCTAATATGGAAAATATATACATTTGTAGGAAGTTTATTATGTCTGTGCCAACAATCTTAAGCCTAGATTTTATGTTTTTCGAATAAGCTTTTAAAATTATGTAATATATTTCGATAAACCTTTAAATGATTCATCCACAAATGTCATCGATAAAGTTTATGGATTTTTTGTGGAAATCATTTGAAATGCTTGTCCAAAAATATTAAATCAAGGCCATACTTAGAGACCCAGTGTACTATTTTTTTTTAGTCTGCCTTTTTATCACAATGATATGCAATGCTTAATAAAAATCAATAGAGAACATGGTCGTAAAAAAAAGTATCAAAAGTTTTTGTTTTGTTTTTTTCAGCCTGGTTAAAAGTTAGAGAACCAGGGCAATCTGGTAACAAATGGGCTAGTAGAACAATCTGTTCCTGGAAATGAAGTAAGAAGAACCTAGACCTTGACTGCTACTGCAACATCAGAGCCTATAAGATGGGCTACATGAAACTTATGTCGGAATGATAGCTGAATAAGAGAGACCATCAGCTACACTAACACCAAAACTGCTAGTTACAGAATGTTTGAACATAGTCAAGAAGAAACTAGTTTCACAACTGGAATTCGATAGATTACACAAAAGAATATGCAGGTGGATGAAACTCTGATAACCACAACAATACCTACTACATAGCAAGCAGTGCTTGACCACTGGATAAAACTGCCAAAGATCATTGGAAAACTATCACCAGACAGTATGCTAGCAGTAGTTAATGAGGCACTATCTATCACAAATACCATCACAGTGACCAAGAAGCTAATATCTGCCACAGTATTTGTGGTCTTCCAAATACTTGACTTCAATATCAGGCTGCAAAAGAAACAATACCCACCATGGAGACTGGAAACCAAGATAAAATCAGGATATATGGAAGTTAGCAAGCTGGATCAACTTCACAGAGATGGAAAGATCAAGGATAGCTCTTGACTACTGAGCTAATATGCTAATACTAGGGTCTCTGGAAACAGCCAAGCAAAGGCTGACAGAACTGGCAACCAGACTGAGCAGATACATCAGAGAAGCAGAGAATAATTGAATTTTTTACCAAAGAACCATACAAGATGTATGTACAGCTGCCTACACCCAGAATTACAAGCAGTCATCATTACAGCCAGAGATATTTAGCAATGAGAAGCCCACAAGAAAAGTTGATGAGCACCAGGTCCTGACATGATCCACACCTACTGGATAAAGTAACTAACAGCATTGCATGAACACGTAGCAGCACAAATAAAGCAGCTGCTAGCAACAGGCTCCTACAATGCAGAAAAATACTGGTCATGAAGGACCCTCACAAGGCAGTAACACCATCTAACTACCGACCAATTACCTGCCTCCCAACAACATGGAACACCATCTAACTACCGACCAATTACCTGCCTCCCAACAACATGGAACACCATCTAACTACCGACCAATTACCTGCCTCCCAACAACAACATCATAGCTTCCAAGATCGATGGACATATGAATCAATACATGATACTCAGGAAGGTATTGGAAATAGAAGCTGAAAACACCAGCTGCTGATAGACCATGATGCACATATGGATACTGGAATGCTTGGCTCTACACGAAAACAACAAGACACCAAGAGCGTTCAACAAGAACTCAATGTACAAGTAGAAAACAACACTAGAAGCCAATTCGAGGACAATTACACAAGTGGACATCATATGTGGTATATACCAATGATGATCCCTGATACTGTTCCGCATAGGCCTCACACCAGCTAAATCGTCATGAAGAATGGATATGGACACAGGTTCATGAGTGGACCTACCATCAACCACCTTCTGTACATGGACAACATAAGGCTGTATGCCATGAATTAGTGAGACATTAATTCACTGATAAATAGGATATGCAACAACGACACTGGAAGGTCATTCAGATTATAAAATTGTAGCTAAATGATAGAAAAAATAAGGAAAACGTTAATGACAGTAGGAGTTAAAATGCCAGAAGGCCAAAAAGGAGACAGCAATAAGTACCTGGGGCTAACACAAACACGTGGGAACCACGAGGAAGAGCTAAGAAGGACAGCAACAACCAAGTATGAAGTCCCAGCTTAATGTCAAGAACAGGATTGTGGCGAAACCAACCTCGCCACTGTACACTGGAGAAGCCTGGTTGCTCGCCTGCTCCCTTTAGACTATGGTCCTGCATTTTAAACTTTTATTTTACCGGCAGAAAGGTTTATTCGTGCCTTTCTGCGGACTGTTAAAGCCATACTACCCCAGATAGCTATGCCATGGAGCCCAGCCGTATACTGAAAGACTGTATGAAAGACTTTGGCTCCATGGCGATTGAACTGTATGTAGGTGATCAGATCTAAGCTATCTGGGGATATGTAGAATGTCTATGTTTTATGGAATAAATGTAACTGTATGTAATTTTATGTCTTTTCCTGTTCGTCTGCTAGCAGCTATTCGTGTGTCTCCAGTTCGGGAGTTTGGAGGGCTACTTGGTATGCAGTTCGATAGTTTCGAGTATTCCCTTGGTATGCAGTTCGGGAGTTTCGAGTATTCCCTTGGTTGCAGTTCGGGAGTTGGTGAATTCGTGGGTTTGCAGTTCGGGAGATTGGTGCTTGCAGTAGCTGTCTGTGCAGCTGAAAAAGGGGAATATCGCCTAAACGGTTTTTAAACTCTTGTGGGCAAAACGGTCCGTTACAAGGATCAATGCCTTTTATACCTGTGTCCTACTAGTTATCAGGAACCCAGTGAAAATAATAACCTGTCCAAGATACTATGGATATCAAGACCTAGA